CTCATGCACTCATTGTTGGAGACAATTGCCACCAACCAACTTCCGTTTTGTGGACCCAATGAGATTGATCATTATTTCTGTGATGTCCACCCTTTAGTAAGATTGGCTTGCACAGATACCTACATTATTGGTGTCATTGTGGTTTCTAATAGTGGAGTCATTGCTCTGAGCTCCTTTATCACCTTGGTTTCATCATACATTGCCATCTTGGTCTCCTTGAGGTCTCGCTCTTCTGAAGGGCGCCTGAAGGCTCTATCTACCTGCGCTTCCCACGTCACCGTAGTCATTTTATTTTTTGGCCCATGCACCTTTATGTACATACGTCCTTCCAGTAACTTTTCAGAAGACAAGACTGTGGCTGTGCTTTATACTGTGATCACACCAATGCTCAACCCATTGATCTACACACTACGAAATGAGGAGATGAAGAAGGCCATGAAAAAATTGTGGAGCCAAAAAGCGATTTCACGACGGAGAAGAAGAATGTGACATTTATATATTTTTTCATTTAAGCCATGTGAATTGCAATGATTAAAATAAGCAGTGGATATTGTGCTTTAGGGAAGGGCCGAGTAGAAGGTAGATTGGAATCTAGTCATAGTTTTGTAGTAGACCAGCAAGAATTTCTGATTCCCAAATTTGTAATAATAGCAACAACAAAAATGCTCCCTCTTATTCCCAAATTATGATATTAAAGATGCTGATTGAAGTAACTCAGATGTCAATTTGTTCTTAGATATGCAGATCATCTCAATTAGCGCTGCCCCCCGAGCTGCTGCTTTCTATCTAGCAGCCATTTGCAGATATTGGACTCCATTGTAGTGCAGTCGCTAGAGTGTTGGACTAGGACCTGGGAGACGAGGTCACTGTCTCCCAGCCTATCCTGGGTGGTTGTAAGAATAAAATCAGGAGGAGGGAAGAACCACACATAGCACTTTGAGTTCTTTGGAAAGGTGGGATAGAAATGTAATCAATTTTTAAAAAGTAAAAACAAAAGTAAATCTCCCCAGCCTTAAGTCTGTCCACCCTTCTTTGTAGAATGACCTCTACAGGGTTGTATTGATCTGAATATGTTTTGATAGTTAAAATCTTTTCACTGCAGTTTATTGAAGTTTTATTCCATAAAAATGACATCAATAACAACAAAGGATGATGAAGCACGTTTTTGCTTATGTTGTAAATCAGCAGCAGTTTCTATGATTATCAATATATTCAATATAATTTTCCTTATTCCAACAAGAGACTTCAGAGAGTTCTACGGGTGGCAGGAGTTTGGGATTTATTGGGATTATCTTTTGTCCATGGAAAAAATTCCTGCCATTGACCTTAAAAGCCATCAATAGTGTTTTCTTGTCTAGTCGCTTTAATTTATGTTGCTTAGTTTATCTAACAAATCAATATGCCAAATCCTATCTATTGATCCTCACTCATCTGATTTCCAGTGTTACCACTAGTCTGGCTGCTGCCAGAATAAGTGACACCATGACTTTGTGAGGGAGATCCATGTTTTCCCCATCAAAGATGGTTAAAAGTTCCAGGGAGAGATCTGTCTCAATATGGTGACCTGCCATTTTGCTACATTCTAGAAAAATGTTTCCTAATGTTTGTGTATTGCCTCTCAACTTCACCTATGAGCCTATGCTCATAGGCTCAACAGAGCCTATGCCTTTACATTCTTTTCTCCAAAAGTAAGGGATCACAGCAGCATATATGCAGCTTATTTTGGGGTGTGTGGTACCAATATATAACTTTAAGTGGATTTTTCCTAATTCTTGCTGAAACTGATATTACTGTTTTCTTCTTCTTCCATTTTTGTACAAAGTTTTCATACTTAGAGTATGACCTGATTCCCTTCCCCATATTATCTTTAGTGTACTGAGATTATATTGCTTTGCATTTTGTCTTAACCAATACATTTCTGATACTTAACCCTTAACTGGTTCCTAAATTCAGGAATCATAATTTCTCCTTTTGTTAACAATCTTATTGCCTGTGCATCCACACTAGGCATAGCACTAAAATATAATATTTGATTAATGTTGTGCCAATAATGTTTAATTTTTAGAAGCTGTTATTTTATTTGTTGTCTTGTTTTCAATCTGGTTCCTCAATATAAATATTTAATGCTGTAGAAATATTTTCCTCCATTCATTAAATTAAATTAATTTATTTTTGCAATAAAAAAGTGTGTGACAACCTAATGACTCAAGGTTAATGGTGAAACACCTGAAGTCCACTTTTTGGCATATTTAATCCACTACAGAAGCATTACCTGGTGCCACCCAATAGTGGGAAAATCTTTCAGGGCAACATCTATAGCAATTAAATTGAACGCAGTACACCTACATGCTGCCTTGCTAAATCAAGATCAATGCATTTCCCCCCAAAATTGCTATTCCCCACATTTTATTCAAAGACATTGGAAATATACAGACATTCATACCTCTAACTTTTTTTTTTACAGATCTCCTTCATTTGCTCAGTATGTTCAATACTAACTGTTGATAGGTAACTTCACTCCCCTTCCTCACTTCCACATCTTATGGTTCTTTATGGTTCAAAGAAGTCACCCCTTCAAAGAGAAGATGCCTTCAAATGGAGGGCTATTCTCTGCAATGAAGGACACATGGCCATTGTGGCTGATAGAACTCGAAATGCCTCCTTGAAATTTGTATCCTATGGTATCCCATGCTAGTGCGGCTCAGAGTAGACCTATTGAAGTTAATGGGCCTAACTTGGGACCATTAATTTCAATGGGTCTGCTCCGAGTACAGCTTGGTTGAATACAAACCTATGCATTAAAAAAGTTGAGCTGTTTCTCTAATGACTCATTTTCCACTGGAAGGCATCTCAATGCTCCTGGGAGCTTATTAAGCAGGGCTTGATTTGCTAAGAGGGCTTGATCAAAGCCACATGCTTCTAGGTTCTTAGAGCACAACAGTGTGAATGTGTGTGAGAGACAGAGACAGTCAGAGAAAGAGACGGCCCCGTACAAACTTCAGCTGGTCTCCTGCTGCATTGCATCTAAGGAAGTCCCTCCAGGTAATAAATGAAGGGCTGCAACAATTGATTTAAGTGTGTAGATTGCTGATTAAAGCAAAAATTAAAATAAAATGCCGGTTAGGACTCAAAGTTTTGTTCCCCCTGTTATTCTAATTTTATATATATCCTGTCTTGTTAGCCATAAGGGCAAGGGAAGGTAACAGAATTTCCCCATCTCACAAAATCCCTGTAAGATAAAGATTCATGAATTGCTTTGAAGAAAGCAAGTTAGAAAGCAGTATATAAATTTGGGAAATGATCAAATTATTATTCCTATTTTACTGCTGACAACATTTATTTCCTTGTGGAAAGCGAGTACAGATTTTTTTATACATCCCAACAGAACCAAGTTAACATAGGGCCCAGTAAAAGGAGTGTATGAATGACATTCCACTGGTTCCGTCTCCCCAGGCAAGGCTCGGTTGGAGGTTTGTTAGGCATGCTTGTATCCAGTGCTTTTTTAAAAAAATAGAATAAAAGGTGTCGGTATTCACCATGAACTTGTTAAAGTAAGTGCTACACTTTTAACATTGGGTGGGGGGAGGTGCCGGTACTGCATGCCCTTAAGTACCCCCACCTCTTGCACCCTAAAAGTTACTTTTCTTCAAAGATACAGTAGGAGATACATTGCAATACAATGAACCTGTTGGATTTTGGGATGACACATTCAGCTCTTTGAAGGAACAGAACTTCCATTAGGAAAAACCGTGACATTCCATCGGGTTGAGAATGCTGCCATGTTGCTTTTTTTTGTGTTGCCCTCTTGCTATTGTGGGAAAAGGTGGGAGGGTTTTGCCTGTGGATGGTTGTGGGCAAAAACTTCAAATGTGATTAATGCTAAATCCATGTCCCCTCCACCCTTCCGTAGGGTTCCTGTCTTTGAAACAGCTGCATGCCAGTAAAAATGTGCAACTGGTGTGGATTTTCTGGTGATGTATCAACTGGTGATGTACCAAGTGTTAGATACAGCACATTGTGTATTGCTGTCACACCATGCACAACATGTTCCTATGATAAATTTCACTGATGGGCATGTCCCCAAATTCCTATATACTATAAGACCCTGATACAAAGAAGAACTTTTAAATTTGATCTTGTAATGCAGGTTTCATAACTTGAGAAACGGGGTGTCATTTCTGATGGCATAAGTTTGTCAAACACTAGTCATGAAAGATCTTTTAATTAAAGGCACAAAGCTTCTATCTATAAAAATATGATTCCAATGCCAGTTAATTCTAGGCAAAGCCTTGGAATGCATTCAAAGAGATTGTTTGTTGCCCTGGTCACATTCTCCCCATAACTAGTCAGCACTTCCACTGTACACTGTACAGTGCACCGTCCATTGTACACTGGAGATTTTAGGGACCAACTGCATGTAAGATGAAAAACACCACTCAGAAGCACACCAGACATTTGAACATTTTAATAGTATGTGTATCCCCAATCCACATTTTTCACTGGGACCACAATGCATAGGGAGCTGAAGTTTAACCCTTCTCTACCCAGCTGTGAGCCATCCTGGTATTAGGAAAAAAGCTCTGATAGATGCTAATGGGCGCTTTCTCACTAAGACTAATAGCACTGCCTGGAGTGGGATTTTCATTGGGCTTGTGGATTACCCTCCCCCCAATGTTTTGTGACCCCAATGAAAACTGCCCCACTGCCCCTGCTCTTACATTTTAAAAAACCTTGGTGTCCTTCAAAGTGGTGTGTGCAGTGTCATGTATAGTTTGGCCCTTTGCAGTATGCGACAAAGCTGCAGACAACAATGGATTCTCAGAGTTGTTCAGAATTAATGAAAGAAGGATCATCCCACAAGATTTCTGAACTGTCACGAAAACAACTACAGTTTTCTCAGGTTTACTTAAAAATATCACTTTTAGTTGACTCTATTCTTTATTTTGTCTGATGGCAGGTTATTTTAATTCTGGATTGTAATCATCTTCTCTGCTGACTTCATGGAGAACAGAAACAATGTGTCTGAATTCATCCTCTTGGGGCTTACTCCGGATCCAAACATACAGAAAGCCTGTTTTGGGCTCTTTCTGGTCTTCTACACAGCAATAGTGTTGGGGAATCTACTTATCATAGTCACCATCAAAAGCAGCTCCCGTCTGAACTCTCCTATGTATTTCTTCCTTAGTTACCTCTCCTTTGTGGACATCTCCTACTCCTCTGTTACTGCTCCCAAAATGATTGCAGATTTCCTTGTTGAGAAGAAGACAATCTCCTTTGTTGGTTGCATAATACAGCTATTCTTCATTCATTTCTTTGGTGGCACTGAGATCTTCCTTCTCACATCAATGGCGTATGACCGGTACATAGCCATCTGCAAACCCCTCCATTACACAACTATTATGAGCAAGAATGTATGTGGTTTAATGGTGGCAGGCTCATTCCTAGGTGGGTTTCTTCACTCAATAGTCCAGACTCTCCTTACTATACAGCTGCCCTTCTGTGGGCCCAATGAAATTGACCACTATTTCTGTGATGTTCACCCTTTACTGAAATTGGCCTGTACCAATACTTACATTGTTGGACTCATGGTCATTGCCAATAGTGGCATGATATCTCTGACCAGCTTTCTTGTCTTGGCAGTTTCATACATCAGCATTCTAGTTATGCTGAGAACTCATTCTTTCGAAGGACGCCTAAAAGCCCTCTCCACCTGCGCTTCCCACATCGCTGTTGTGATCTTATATTTTGGACCCTGCATCTTCATCTACCTGAGGCCTCCCACCACATTTTCGCAGGACAAGAGTGTGGCTTTATTCTATACTATTATCACCCCTATGCTCAATCCCTTAATTTATACACTGAGAAATGAAGAGGTGAAAAATGCCATGAGAAAATTATGGAGCAAAAAAGTATTTATGGAGTGAGAAATAACAAGAGATGCAAGTTTATGACTCTCATATGAACACTGGGGATAGGGATATTCTGCTTGCATTTACAGAAGTGGCTAATTGTTACATTAAAATCTGGAAAGGCAGTTTCCCTTAAGCTACCACTGTGTTGGTTCTATTTTAGTCATTTTTACTTGTGTGTTTGCTCATTAAACAATCGGTACAGATTGTAGCATACATGTCTACTCAAAAGCAAGCCCCATTGAGACTTACTCTGAAGTAAGTGTGCATTGGCTGTAGCCTTAGGGTAAGCTGGGAAATATATATTATTATTTCTTTGCCAATCCTTCCTATGAAAGATTTTGACCTTCACATATTTCTTATTTGAGAAAAATAAGCAAGAACTCTGGAAGCTTGTGTACCAGCATTAAGCTCAAATGGTCAAATCAAAGCTTACAGCTCACTCATTTTGTGCCTCGTATTCTTTTGGCTCAATACATTGCCAATCAACATGTTTCATCTAATTGTGGTCAGTTGGGAAAGAGAGAGGTCAGTTTCATTGAAGGTTCATTCAGATAGGTTTGAAACAATCACAAATTATTTTTCTGGACTGTTTCAGGTGAAACTGCACCCCACCTCCATGCCGATGGAGAACACTAATAATGTGACAGAATTCATCCTCTTGGGACTATCCCAAAATAAGCAGGTCCAACAAGCCTGCTTTCTCCTGTTTCTGCTCATCTACTTAGTGATTGTTCTGGGGAACCTTCTGATCATGGTCACTGTGCAGTCCAGCCAGCACCTCCACACGCCCATGTACTTCTTCGTTTCTGTCCTATCGTTTGTGGACATCTGCTATTCATCTGCTGTGGTACCCAAGCTGATTGCAGACTTGCTTGCCAAGGAGAAAACCATTTCATTTGTGGGCCGCATTGCTCAGCTCTTTTCTGTGCACATCTTTGGTTGCACTGAGATCCTTATCCTCATGGTGATGGCTTATGTCACCATCTGCAAGCCCCTTCACTACACAGCCATCATGAGCAGGCGAGTCTGCCACCAGCTGGTTGTAGCCACTCGGCTGGGAGGACTTGTGCATTCAATGGTCCAGACTATCCTCACCATAAAGCTGACCTTTTGTGGGCCTAATGAGATTGACCACTATTTCTGTGACATCTACCCTTTGCTCAAGCTGGCCTGCAGTGACACCCACATTGTTGGAGCCTTGGTTGTTGGCAACACTGGGATGATTGCTTTGGGATGTTTCCTGGTGCTGGTTGTGTCCTATGGTGTCATCTTATTCACCCTCCGCACACAGTCCTCTGAGGGGAGGCAAAAAGCCCTCTCCACCTTTGCTTCCCACATCACTGTGGTGCTCATTCTGTTTGTGCCCTGCCTGTTCATCTATGTCTGCCCTTCTACTACCTTAGCAGTGGATAACGTGTTTGCTCTGTTCTACCCTATCCTCATGCCTATGTTGAACCCAATCATTTACTCGCTGAGGAATGCCGAGATGAAAAAATGCCACGAAGAAGCTGTGGAGCAAGACACAGAGGCTTGGGGAGCCAAAATAAATTGGGTTAGTTCTCCTGTCCTTGGAATATTTGTAATCATCTGGCCTTTCGCTGGCATACTCAACAAAGATCAAACTTGTCTTTAGTGTGGAAATATTATTTAAGAAGGAGTTATAATTCAGAAACACCCCCCCTTTGAAGCCCCCCACTCCAAATTCAGAAAATACTGTGGACATCAGCAGAGAACACATTACAGATTTTTTATGAGGATCTAGAGTGGCTGTGAGCCGGAAGCCTATCTCCACTACAGATATATGCTTCAGACATAGGTGCTGAACCTCCAGTTTGCAGGCCAAACTTAGCTCACCGGCCTTCCTCATTTCATTTAACTTTTAATTTGTATACTGCCTTTCTATATTACTATATACATGGCGGTTTACAAGCTGAAGAAACAACAAAGATCACACACATTATAACAATCTAATCCAATTCAAAAAAGTCATAATAAAATTATAACTTATACACAACTTATATCAAACAAAGCAATATTCAATAATCCATTAGAATATAGCAGTGCACAATGAAATCAAATATCAGCAAACAATGATTAAACAGAAATTCACTCTTAACAATTGCAATAAATAATTACTAAACTATAATCAATAAAAATAACAGCAAGTCACAATGCATAAAATACTGCAATACATACAAAACCATGTAAAAGGGTTAAGTTGGGAAACAGTGACACACAATTTATAAGATGATGATGATGATGATTAGTATTAAATCCTGAAATCCCTTTCTCCCCATTTGGCTCACAAGGCCATTTTGGAAAACCCACAGCAACCCTTTCCACACCTGACATCAGGTGTGGGATGGGTAAGGGTAGCGCTTCAAAGGAACAATTGGGCGTGTAAAGTGAGCTCCCCATTATTCCTTTGCTGGATGGGTGATGTGACTTGATGAGTGGTGGGCACCTTAGCAGCATATGGTGGGCACCATGACACCTGCAAGAACCATGCTGGCAAAGTCAGATGTAGTCAATACTGAACTAAGGTAGCCCAACAGCCTGATGGGGTGTAAGGCAGCATCTCGCGTTCTTGGCATAAGGGCCCAAATTTAATCCTCAACATAGCATTAGCAGCTGAAAGGATCTCAGACCATACTGTAAAAATGTGGGGCAGGGAGGAAGGAGGAGAACCGAGGAAAGAAAATCTCGCCCTCTCCAAGACATTCGCTTGAGGTGACATTCAAACCCAGGTCTGGCTCATCATAGTCCCCACACTGAGACCCCACCAGAGGTCTTCTGGTAAAGATTTTCCCCAGGCTTTCTTTCATCCACAAGATCAGACTAATTTTAATTCCCTGAAATCCTGTTTTGATTGATTTTAACATGCTTTTATACTCCCCATGTTAAAGACTTACTGAGGACTGTGTTGAACTATCACATGGTGACTACAAAATGTGATAATTCAGGGAGGAATGAATGGATGTTCCTGTGGGAAAAGTGAGAAAAAAAATTGGTATTCACAAACTCTCTGAAGGAATTGTGCAACACGCAACCACTTTGAGCATGATTTAATTGGCTTCCTCTAGGGCCATTAAATGGGGGAAAGAAAACCTTCAAAAGCTCCCCAGATTTAAAAGTTGCTTGTAAAGCCTCTTCTTTCTGATGTAGCAGCAGTAAAGCATTTAGTGTTAATTAAGGCAATGCATTCTCATATTTTGAAACGGGATTGCACATCAACTAAGAGTGCTTCCAGATTGCTGCTGTTTTTGGGTGTGATTCAGTCCCACTACGGCAAATTCAGGCTGTGCAGTTAAAACTGATTTGGAGCCCATGCACAACAAAGCTACTTTCCTGAAAGGTCAGACTTTTTGTGATGGAAAAATGCACTGGAAAGTGTGGGTGGGGTAACACTTGCTTGGTGCAATCTTGTTGAATCCTTCCACAAACAAATCAGGCTGAGTGATCATTAAACAGATTGTCTGGAAGTGCCTGAGAAATAATTATCCATGCTGTATCTTGAAACTGCTTAGTGATTTTGACAATTAAGTGCCGTACAATTTTTTTAAAATAATAATAATAATAATAATTAAAAATGTTTCTTAATCACTGGTTGGGAGCTAACAGAGACCTGATCTGCATTCCCTGTGCTTTTGGTGAGGTTTGGAGTGGACAGACCCAGACACTTCCATCTTTTTGTAGGCAAGTGGAAAGAATGGATGGCTAAAGATTGTAGCGGTACTAAATAAACACCTGCCTAGCCAAGCTTGTAAGGAAGGAACTCCACCAATCTTCATTTATTTGGAATCCAAATTTTCATGTAAGTAACAGTTTGCTGTCCTTATGTCTAACCTACCATCTGGGTTAAGATTCTGGGAGGAAATGTGAGATGTGGATGTAACAAACCAACAAACAATTGATTTTCAGTTACCCAGGCTATGCCAGAATCTTGGCTAGGACCAGGGAATAACATCCAATGCTGCTGAAAGCCAGTTAAGCAGCTGAGAAGTACCGTAACTGTGGACACGACTAAAGCACTCCCATGCAGACAAAGCTCACATTTCAGCACTTCACTGGAAGTGAGTGAATGTCAGAGTTGTGAGGTTGTGGCAGGGAGGATGAACTCCTGGCTGTCACTCAGGCTTAGGACATCAGAAACTGTCTTCTTTCTTTCCCATTTATCTGTAACTGCAAGCAGGACACCATGGTTGTCCCACATTGCCCTGCTCATTTGCCAAAGAGGGATAAATATTTGGCTGTTACCTTGTTAGCAGCAGAATTCCCTGGGGCACTTAGTTTTACAGAGCAAGCTTGTAATATCCTTGTGTTATTACACTGGTCAGATGTTTCCAGCCCAATTCTGCAGCTCTGTTTTCCCTATGAAGAAAAGCAAGCTTTTTGCATACACTCAGCTGACTAGCTAGCAACCCACTGAACTCAGTTTGGATAGAGCATTAGCATATAAAACTGCAAACTTTTCACTTGGTGAGTCAGGCAGCCCGTTCTCTATAAACAGGGAGCTTTGGCTGAATGAAATGGAGCTATTCTGAACAGTTATGTGCTTCAATGCTTAAAAGCACTAAAAACTAACTAACTAACTAACTAACTAACTAACTAACTAACTAACTAACTAACTACAATAATAAAATAATAAGTGTCCCATAACATGGGTAGCTCACATAACAATGTGATGGGCTAAACGGCAATGTGCTCTACTTGGGGCTACCTTTGAAGGTGACCCGGAAACTACAACTAATCCAGAATGCGGCAGCTAGACTGGTGACTGGGAGTGGCCGCCGAGACCACATAACATTGGTCCTGAAAGACCTACATTGGCTCCCAGTACGTTTCCGGGCACAATTCAAAGTGTTGGTGCTGACCTTTAAAGCCCTAAATGGCCTTGGCCCAGCATACCTGAAGGAGTGTCTCCACCCCCATTGTTCTGCCCGGACGCTGAGGTCCAGCGCCAAGGACCTTCTGGCGGTTCCCTCCCTGCGAGAAGTGAAGTTACAGGCAACCAGGAAGAGGGCCTTCTCAGTAGTGGTGCCTGCCCTGTGGAATGCCCTCCCATCAGATGTCAAAGACATAAACATCTATCAGACTTTTAGAAGTCATCTGAAGGCAGCCCGGTTTAGGGAAGCTTTTAGTATTTGATGAATCATTGTATTTTAATATTCTGCTGGAAGCCGCTCAGAGTGGCTGGGGAAATCCAGCCAGATGGGCGGGGTATAAATAAATAAATTAAATAAATAATCATTCTTAAAATAGAATACAGAAGGATAAAAAACAGTTATTTATAGTTTTAAAAAACACAACGAAAACATAGGTGTTTATACTGAGTGGGAGGGTAAATATCCCATGCTTCTGAGCACGCATATTCCCTTTGACATATACATGCACGTTGCATCTTTTCAATGAGACATACAGCAGAAAGGACCTTTTCAACAGGCAGTGATAGAAGCAGAAAGCGTTATGAGGGGAGGGCTGTATCTCAGTGATAGAGAATCTGCTTTGCATGCATAAGGTCAGGGGTCGGCAAGGTTTACCTCGCCTGGGCCTGTTCACTCCAGCAGAGATCCCTCTGTGGGCTGGATTGCGCATGAGTGTGAGTGCACCCGGCCGCAATTTCCTGCGTCTGCACAGATGCAATTTCTGGCACCGTGGAAGCGAGTCCCCGCACCGCGCTGTGTCGGTTTAGCGCAGCGTGTGGGGACTCGCCGAGTGGGCAGCTCGGTTTGGGGGTGGCTCGTGGGCCGGTTAAATGACCCCCATGGGCCGCTTGTGGCCCATGGGCCTTTGGTTGCCTACCCCTGCATAAGGTCTTTGGCTTATTTTCAGGTAGGATTGAGATTGTCCCCTGCCTGAAACTTTGGAACATTGCTGTCTTTCAGCGTGGGCAATGCTGAGCTTGATGGACCAATGGGCTGACCAGTATCAGGCAGCTTCCTGTGATGTGGTTTGTAATGGGCTATAAAAAGAACCATATGCCATTGATTCCTGTAGCCTTTCAGACAAAAGCCCTTCTCAATCAAGTCAGAACAACATGGGCAATCCTCAAGGATTTTTTCAAATGCTAATTCACACAGTGATGGCCCATCAAGATACCACCTCATTTGGCTCATCTACTCAGCAGAGCTCTGATTGCTCAGAAGAATGATGGAGAGAAATAGCACCACTGTGACAGAGTTCATTCTCCAAGGATTTATGGGAAACCCAACATTACTCTTCGTAGTATTTCTTGTCATGTATCTTTTTAGCTTGATAGGGAATCTAGGGATGGTTGTCTTGATTAGGAGCAGTCCCCAGCTCCATACCCCCATGTACTTATTTCTGACACACTTTTCATTTATGGATGCCTGCATAACTTCAACCATTGCCCCTAAAATGCTGCTGAACTTCCTGGTGGAGAAGAAAGCCATTTCCTACAGTGGGTGCATTCTCCAGTTTTTCACATTTTGTACTTTTACAGATGTGGAGTCCTTCATCCTGGCTGCCATGGCAATAGATCGTTATGTGGCCATCTGCAAACCATTGTCCTACACAGTCATCATGTCGAAGGCACTCTGTGTCTGGCTGCTCACTGGGGCATATGTTGGGGGGATCATGAGTTCTCTCATACACACGTGTGCGTCTCTAAGACTGTCTTATTGTGGGGAGAATTCTGTCAACCATTTCTTCTGTGACCTGGCTGCCCTGATGGCTCTTGCGTGCTCAGACACATCCCTCAATGAGTGGCTTCTCTTAACTTTTGGCATCTTGGTTGAAGCGTCCAACATTGTGACTATCCTCACCTCCTATGGCTTTATCATCACAACTATCACCAGGATACACTCTGCGGGAGGCCGGCTCAAAGCCTTCTCTACGTGTGCTTCTCACTTGACGACTTTTGCCCTGTTCCATGGCACCATCCTCTTCATGTACTTCCGGCCCAGTTCCAACTTCTCAATGGACACAGACAAAAGAGTCTCTGTATTTTACACTCTCATCATCCCCGTGTTGAACCCCCTGATTTATAGCCTGAGGAATTCAGAGGTGAAGGATGCCCTAAAGAAACTGATCAGGAAAAATATAAATCCTCACTGATTTTTTTAATACTGTGGACTTGAGTAACTATAACTAAGTTTTGTGTATGTACGTAGGTTGGCTGCAGCGCCAAGTAAAGCCATAACCAGCAATGGCTGGTCTATTTGGGCAAATGGGGCCCTGGCCCACCAACTCCCAGTCTATCTTCAGCCAGCCCTCCACCTGCTTGCCTTCTTACAACAGCCCAGGAGGAGGTACTGCACATCACCTTCCTCCTCCTTATTCTAAGTATTGTCCTTGTAGAGGGGAGAATGGAAGCAAAACTAGAAGAGTTAGCTTTGACTGTTATTGGCTCTGGCTTCACCTGTGGTTAACCTTTCTGCCTTCCACCCCACCAATCCCTATGGGAATCAGTCACCACTGGCCACAACAAAATAGGAATTTACTTAACAGAAGTGTTCCTTTGTTCATGACTTCAGTTTAACAAACCCTCCACACATCTTAATTCCAGATGCATGCATAGGCATTATTTGAAGACGAGTTAAGTTGTGTCAGGGCTCAGTGTTTTCAGTGGTATGGTTTAATTCTAAAGCATGTGAAGTATGTAGCACTAAAGAGCCCTTGAGCAAGTGCAGATAATATTTCTGTCACCAGTGAACAATGACAGAGAGTGATTAGGTGATTAGGAAGAAGGGTATCAAGATAAGTTGGTGGTGTTTTCAGACAGACTCGAACTCTGACATCTCTTTTTCTCACAGTCATGCTCAACACTTACCTATGGTACACTTGATGACTGGCAGGTGTATGTGTGACTCAACTTCATTGAACAGCATTCAATCTGAGGTGGGTGGTATGAAAGTTCTATCTGTGTTGATAGCCCATTCACACATGTGATGTTGTAGTCATCTGGAGATGAACATGCCAGTGGGAATCAGCTCTGGGAGAGGAAATATAGTGATGAGGGAACAAGGAAGACATGAATCCCTTAGTCTCTTGAATTGTTTCTCTGCTTCATCCACACCTGACTTTAATGTTTATTTGAAGCTGTTTGCATTCCCATTTATGTAGTGTTTGCATGACATCCTGGTCAAAACAGTTTCTTTCCCCTTGGTATCCCCTTGTAAATTTCTCTAATCCAGGGATTGTGTTAGAGAAAAGCAAATACATTTCCTTCTCTTGAGTTCGTCTTTAATGCATGTGTTGCTTTAAACCACCAGAGGGCACTGCTTGTGTAGCAATCTAGCCAACACTTGTTTGTAGCTCTCTGTCAAAGTTAAATCCACCCATAAAAGCTGAGCTATTTTGTTTATTTCTCTCTCTCAAGTTGCTGAGCCAAAATGTTTGTTATTTTCTCCCTCTCATTTCCACTCATCCTGTAAATAGATCCTGCATGAATAAAGCCTTTAAATTCCAGAAAGTGTAAGTGATGATTCCAATCCAGTCCACCAAGCTGCAAGGTCTGCTAAGAGTTTGAGACAACAGGGCAGAGGACCATAGGGCAAATGCAATGCTGTTAATAGTACCACACCAGTTTCATAGGGGAACTGTTTTCCACAGAAAATATTTTAGAGATCAAGAATAATTGAGAGGGAAGAAAAGCATGCAGTGGGACTGTTTCCCATTAGATTTCTTTGCCATCTTATGCCAAAGGTCTTGGTGTAGGTTATATATTGACAGCTCTTCATAGTTTCATAACTAAATTGATGAGCTATGATGAACTGTGAATATATTATAACCAAGACCTAGGATTAACCAAAATGAAAAAGAAAGAGAGGAAAAGAAATTGAAAAGAAAAGAAAAAAAGTGCCCAAGGAAGTTCAGTGGGATTCATCATCACTGTAAACTATCTCAAATGGACACAATGATGTACATCATACATCATACAAAACTTAGCCTCTCCCAGATATAGAATAGTGAAGAACAAGTGTGAGCTGCAACAAAATGATGTAGTCTGGAGTGAATAGTATGCAGTGCTCAGTTTTCTAGCCAGCCAGCCAGCCAGCCAACCATTCCTTTTCCCAGAATACTCAATTCCATTTCCCCCGAGATTTCATTTTCCCATGCATTCCATGACTACTGATCATGCTCAGTCTTCTTTGTGCTGTTCCCTCTTCTGCATTTCCTTTTGGCATCTTAAAATCTTGGGTTTCCCCTAAGCCTGCTGATACCTCCGTCTTGTTGGTAGGTGGTGACTTCATAAGGACCCACACTTGGAGAATGAGTTTGTTATTAGCATTCAGGATAAAATTTCACAAACACACAAAAATACAAACACAGTAAAAACGGCATCCTTTATTGGGTCAGTCCATTTGTGTACATTAGCTTTAGGTACACAGAAAAAGATGGGTATGAGAAAGCAGATATCATACCCTCCAAGTGTCCTGGGACAGTCCTGGAATCATGAAAGCCACCCCGGCTTTTGATTTGATCCCGGAATGTCCCTATTTCCCCTTGCCAGTGCTGTTGCTCACCAAGGCTGGTGAGGAGAATGAGCCAGCACTTGTCCTGGGCAGCAGCAATGAGGGAGCATCCTGTTGCCTCTCCATGGCTTCTCCATTGCCACCGCAGCTAGACTCCTTCCTTGGGCAGTTGATGGTGGCACTGGCTCTGAGAGTCAGGCAGAGGGCAGGGGAGTCCTGGGTGGGAAGAAAGGGGGAGTGGAGAGGAGCACAAGGAGCCTTGACTTTTTTATTTTTATGCTTTGTGCATTGGTGTCTAATCTTGCCCCTCTCTTTATTTATTGGTGTATGTTTTTCTTTTTGCAAATCTACCAAAGAATAAATTTTTTAAAGGGGGTTGTTTTTGTTGTTGTTTAGTCGTTTAGTCGTGTCCGACTCTTTGTGACCCCATGGACCAGAGCACGCCAGGCACTCCTGTCTTCCACTGCCTCCCGCAGGGGGTTAAGGGATTTTTTTCAGGATGGTGGAGGCAGGGGTGGAGGAAGGGGTGTGTGGGCTGCCCCGGGTGTCACCACTGGGGGGGGGGAACGAAAAAATGCTGGGCAGCTCATTGCGGGCGAGCCACGTGTCTCTAGTGGGAGCTATGGGGTGGCTTGGGCGTGGGCAGGCTCCGCGCTGCCCAATGGTTCGCCTGCTGCCTCCCCCCCAGCTGTAGGGTGGTAGAGTGGGAGGAGGCAGGCCAGCTCTGGAGGCCCCGCGGTGCACCCCGCTTGCCCTGACATCGCCCCGTCCCTATGGGAGGCTTGCCCTGCCCTGGGCGAGCTGCCCAGTCACTGGGTGGCAGTGTATTTTGCTTGAAGTGGCAAAACATCCGGGGCCAGACCTGAGGAAGTATCTCACCCAGTACTGAAGTTCTGAAGAAGTGTGCATGAACACGAAAGCTCATACCAATAACAAACTTAGTTGGTCTCTAAGGTGCTACTGGGATGAATTTTTTAAAATATTTTGTTTCGAGTACTGATCTCATCTCTGATAAAGCCTTGGTAAGATACCTAGCAATCCTAAGGATTCCCAGAACACAGCTTTACAAACATGGCATACAACTCCTTTGAGGCAAAACCATTCCCTTTCAAAAGCCTTAAGTTGGCAAGTGCTTTTGTCAGGGCAGCCTTCACATCCTTGTTCCTCAGACTGTAGATCAGAGGATTGAGCATAGGGATCACTACTGTATAGAATACCGAGGCCCATTTGTCTTGGTCCAAGGAATAGCTGGAGCTGGGCCGAAAATACACGAAGAGCATCGTCCCATGGAATATCCCAACGGCTGTAAGGTGGGAGCACAGGTAGAAAAGGCTTTGCGTCTGCCTTCAGCAGAGCGCATTCTTACGATTGTGCCCAAGATGTAGATGTAGGAAACAAGAACCATGCCAATGCTGCTGGCTAAAATGCAGCCAAAGAAGATAAATACCATAAGCTCATTGTTGTATGTGTCAGAGCAAGAAAGCAATAGAAGAGGAGGCTCATCACAGAAGAAGTGATTGATGATATTAGACTTGCAGAATGGTAGTTGGAATGTACAGCAAGTGTGTATCATTGCATCTGCCATGCCTATGAAGTAAGCCATAGCCATCAACCGTCCGCAGACTCTTTTGGACATAAGGACTGAATAGTGAAGGGGATTGCAGATGGCCATGTACCTGTCATAGGCCATCAAAGCCAGCAAAAGGCAATCAACATCTACAAAAAAGGAAAGTATATATAGCTGTATAGCACAGGCATTGAAAGAAATCCTTTTGGTCTCAACTAAGAGGTCAGCCAGCATTTTGGGAGCAATGGCTGAGGAGTAGCAGAGGTCAGCAAAAGAGAGGTTGCCCAGGAAAAAGTACATGGGGTTGTGAAGCTGAGGTTCAGCGCAAATTAAGACAATCATCCCCACATTCCAGATTACAGTGATGACATAAATCAGTAGGAAGAGCATAAAAAGAGGGAGCTGCATTTCTGGATCATCTGTGAATCCCAGAAGAATGAATTCTGTTACGACAGAATTATTTCCTTGATCCATCATTTCCCTCAACCAGTGCTGGGCTCAGGATGATTCTTTCTTTTCCTTGAGAAGGGAAGAAAGAAGATTTGTGTTTTTGACAGTTCCCTCTAACTTCCTTTTTGTTTAGAAACAGCAGCAGTCCTGGATTCAAGATAATGGCCATCACAAGCTCAACTGCATTAGTTTAACACAACACCAGCTATCCTCCATATCCCTGGCCTGGCACATCTCTGTTTCAGCCGTTCTCAAGAGACTTTTTTTTTTTTTTTGAAAAATCCATAACTATAGAGGCAGATTCAAGGCTTTAGCCCCATGTACCAGAGGTCTGGTGATGCTATTGCAGACGCATACGCTAAATATTTCTTTCTGAATTAGTGAACTTACCTAAGGTGTGGTCTGGAAGGTTTCCCTGCTTTCAGAAACTGAGTAGGGGGAGAGACCTTAAATGCTAGCTGCTAGGCACCTGGGACATCATCCCTGATGCTACTGAATACCCCAGATATCCATGGTTGTTTTGATTATTACATTTTAATTGGCTGCTTGCATACAAGAGACCTCTAAGACTTCCCTTCTGATTTTTGTATAGTCAATTTTAACTATCTAGGTCTAGTATAACT